AAACGATAAATACCCCCCCCCCCCCTTCATACACTCCCACAGTTCCCCCGAAAACTATACCCGATTCCAGACCAAAATGGGCAAAATGTATACCCGTTTTCAGTCCAAAACGACGCAAAAACCCTACCCGATGGGGCGGCACATACCTATATTGCATATATAGGGGAGTACCCCCCGCCAGGGGGTTGAAAAGCGATGTAGCGTGTGTTACCGCCAACTTCAAACCTGTCTCGCAACAAATTAGGTCGTTATAGGTTACATGCGAAAAGTTGCTGAAGAAAGTAGAAAGTAGTTTTACTTTTTGTTACAAAATCTGTGCACGTTGCGCGTTTTACCGACCCAAGGCAAACTTGTTTGACGTACCTCCTGTGTATGGCGTGACTCCCTCGTAATTTCATCCAATCAAAATTCAGTGTCCACGCAACTTGCAAACCTGATTGTTACAAGACAGGTTTGAACATGGGTGGTAAAACACCTAACATTGCTTTTCAACACGTTTTGCAGCAATGTTGCAAAACAAGTTGCACGTTTTTGTTGCCCGTTTTACAGTAGCTTTAAGATATTCAGTTCCACATTTTGTTTTCATTTAACTATCCTAAGACGGGACCTTTCTCTTTCTCACCTAGGTTTGCCCTTCCATTTTACAATGCTTCCGTTCGGGAAAAGACCGTATCCGGGACTTCTGTTACCACGGTAACCGCTGACGACCCGGATCGAGATGCGAATGCGGAGTTGACGTACAGCATTACCCATAGTTCCTCGATGGAGTACTTTGACATCAACAGTGTTACAGGAGAAGTGTCTGTAAAGAATGTTTTTGATTATGAGGAGGTTCAGATTGTCAATGTCACCATAACGGCGCAGGACAACGGCGTTCCCAGGCTGAGTGGATCGGTGACACTGGTTTTGTTTATCGAAGATGTAAACGACAATACTCCGGTTTTTGAAAGAGGTTAGTTTTATCACTATAGTACCAAACATAATTATAACCTTCATCAAATTCAAATAATCATTCTCGTAGACCATAATCATAACCATTCACTTTTATTATTTAATAATTATTATAAGGTCTTATAACCGTAGGTTAGGTCCAAATCATTTTTGGAAAGTTCAATCGATTACTTCTTCCAAGTCGCTTGTGTCACTGAATTAAAAAAAAAAACTTTTTTCTTAACAATATCATGGCCAGTCAAAAGTATAGTCTGTTTTATCATAGAAATCACCGTAAATGACCTAAATAAATGCCCGGGGCGTGTAATTAATTTTAGGCGTCCAAGCGGGGGCGTTTAATAGATAGGGGGCGTTTATTCTCATAACTGTAACGAGCTCAACAAAAATAATATGCTTTCGGCGAAAATATCAAGAGAGTTTAGAAATAGTGGAATATTCAATTCATCAATAGATACGTCTAGAACGTCTAGATATCCATATCGCTCTTTCAGATCCCAACATCAATGTCAGAATCTTGAACAAGATGAAATACGCAAAGCCTCTTTAATCAAGCAAGAAACTGAAATAATCGAATGATTTTTCCCCTTTTGCTAAATCCTAGTATTTAAGAGTAGGTTCTCATAGGGGGCGTGTATTAGACGGGGGGCGTTCATTATAGAGAAGGGCGTGTAATACAATTTTAAGAGCGTAGAAGGGGCCTGTATTAAATAAGAGACGTTTATTTGGAAGTGGGCGTTTATTAGGTCATTTACGGTATCAATAAAGAACCGGAAAAAAAGAAACCTTTTAGTTGCAAAGTTTGAGAGCCGTGTAGAGAACAAAGGCGTCATCAAATCCGGCCAAATGTTTTGCCTTACGGTTTTATTTTTTCAGACTTCTACGAAGCAAGCATTCGCCATGATCGCTCTTTGGACTCCCCGCCGTTCATCATAGTAAAAGCAACAGACATGGACTCAGGTGACAATGGGAAAGTGGATTATGAGCTTCAGGATTCATCTGATTTCTTTACCGTGGGTAGTACTGATGGTGGAATTCGCCTCAAAGCCACTCCACCCAGTGGTAGGTTCTTCTCTCTCCTTTTACGAAGTATTTCGAAGACGTCCGAACATTGCCAAAGTTCTTCTCATCTGTTGAATACACTCAGTATAGTCCATCGTTTTCTTTACGTACCTTAAGTTACTTTACAATTCATTCATCCCGTGGTGTCATTGAAAACGGAAGTTGACGCTAAGTATTTCGAACACTTTCGATGTTTCCGATGTTGCATTTCGAAAGCAGCTTCCGAACATTACAGAGTACTAACAACGACAGGAATTCTGAGTAAGTGTAGAATAAATGTTTGTTGAATTCTTATAGTGGACCTCCCAATTATCTCTTCTCTTTTTTTAAATGTTTACCTCTCTTTTTACACTTTTAAACTTTCTATATGGTGTTCTAAAGGCCTCTCCGAGCTAGCTTAAGAGAGGAATTCGTTAAACAGTGCACCTCCTTCCCCCCCTCTTCCCCCTCACCTTTATCACCCTGCCTTCTGGCAAACAATTTATACCTTTTCTTTTTACTTGATTATTCTCCATTCAGAGATCCAACTGTGTCTTCTACATACATACATACACACACATTCATGACTTAATTTTACCTCGAATTTACAGAGTTAAGCTCAAAAGCTAATATCTTCAGGCGAGAAAAGAAGAAAAACATTTTTAGTAATAATATTACATTACTATTACATAATAATAAAAACATAACTAAGTACTAGAGCACTAGAGAATTGTTTGTAATTTATCTTTTCGTTTAATTTGCTTGTGTTGTCCTGGAACAGGAAAAACGTATGAGCTAGGGGTGCTGGCTAAAGACAAAGGTTCACCACCGCTGACCAGTACCGTGACGTCCGTACGCATTGATACCATTGAAGCGGACGAGGTGATGGTTGAAATAGAGCTAGAAATTTCTCCGGAAGAGTTCGAAGCGAGACGTGAGCAGTTTGAGGAGGAGCTTTCAAGATACTTAGGTGCTGATGTTAGTATAGCAGATTACACGGTCCTTGGGGAGGCAGAAGCGCGGAGGAGGAAGAGGGAGACTAAAAAACGGTAAGAAAGGTAACTAATGGAGAGGAGAAGTGTGACGTCACGTTACCATGGTAGCACTATTTCTGGATGACAACAGAACCAACGACGACGGCGACGGCAAGGAGAGCGGCAAAATAATGTGTTTATAACTGACAATAACGTTGCACGTGCATCACGCTATTTTGTACATTTCTTTGGCGTCGCACTATGGCATGAAACTTCCTAATTTCACGAGCCCGCTTTATGGAGCAGGAGAACACAACAAAAAAATTGTCGACTTCTTTTTCTAAACTTAGAGAACGATAGATACGGTCCCGAGGAAAATTTTCGCAAGATTTGCCAAGTTGAATGAAATTGAATGAGATCGGTGAAGTTTGAAATAGTGCGAATAGACTTTTACCAAGGAGCCTAAAAGTGTTACCTCCTTTAATTAGTTAACATTCTTTCATGCAGACATAAACCAATCAGAAGTCGAGGACAGTTTCCAGCTGGCTTCTGATTGGACAAAATCTGCACGAAAGAATGTGAATAAATTAAAAGCGGTCACACTTTTGGGCTCCTTGCTGTAAGTGACTTTTTCGGTTTGCTGTCTTCCAAAAATTTCGCTACCATGGCAATGTGACGTAAAGTCTTCTCCTCTCTATTAATAGGAAATTACGTTTGAATTTTTTTGTCACTCTATCAACGGTAAGAAAACAGAGGCCCAGTGGATTGCTGAACCCTCTTGTTCTTGTCAACCAACATGACCGCTGTAACATTTTCTGCAAAATCAGCCATAGTAATCCAAGACAGTCGTGGAACCGTGGATTCCAGATTCCTTTTTCCAGTCGGTGGAACTTGGATCCCGGATTCCAATTGTTAGCGGGATTCCGGACTCCTAGTGCTGAGTTCCAGATTCCAATGCCCGGATTCTGGATTCCACGCGAAAAAAAGTTCTCGGATTTTGAAATTTGGAATTACTCTCCATAGGTTGGTGGAATTACTTAGAAGGTATCATTAGAGTATTATTTTTCTCTCAGGTTTAATAGTATTTGTTTGGTGATTGAATCAAATTATTTTATAGGACAAACAACCGACTTACTCGCTAATGATAATTATATTCTTTTCAGCATTGTGGTCACCATTTACGCGGTTAAGAATCCATCTGGTAACAACACAGATTTAAACGAAAAGTTGTCTCGAGCAAAAGAGTATCTGACAAAAGATGAGATTTTAGACGCTCTCTTAGACGATGACGGAAATCTTAGTCCGAACTTGACAAATAACAAAGAGTTGGAGGTAGGATGTAATGCTTAGCGCGGGTTTTGTTTACGCGTAAAATCAAAAGCGCGGTCAACGCAGAATGATCAACTGAAGATCGAAGCCAATACATGTCATGTGCGTCAAGCCCGAGGAAACTGGTGAAAACATGTCACGAGTAGTTTTATTTTCATTCCGAATGGCTACCACTCATTTCGGTTAGAAACAAACTAGGCTTTTGTACATTATGCTTTTGTTTTCCCACTAAAATACCACACTGTAAATGCTCCATGCAGCACATACAACAACAACGTATAGAGGTTATAATGTTTTTATTGAGTTAATGTTTTAGGTGACATTTGAGTTTTGTTTTGATTTACGAGATTTCGTGTTTAATTTCTCTTTTTTCTATTTTCATTTTTTCTCAAAAAAAATAATTTTGTGAAAAAAAATCCACTAAATTACTCCGAATAACGCTTGATGAGTTTTTGCCTCACTGAAATTCTCGAAAAATTGCGAGCATAATGTACAAAAGCCTAACTCAAAAACTTTTCGTATAGGGTGTTTTCACTCACCTGGTCAGCAGCTATGGGCATGTATATTATTGGAACAAAAGAAAGTCTTTTCTTTTTTTTTTTACATAAAAAGCTCAACTCCTGCAGGATTGGCTCGGGACACCAAGATAGCGAATATATAGTCATGTAAAAAATGGTCTATAACCAAATGGCTTTTCACGTTGTTTTATTGTTGTTGTTGTTTCAGGTATTTAATATTCGCTCAGCCAAGCCAGCGGTGCCTGAGATTCCCACCTCCCCCCCACCCACTCCATTTTACAAGACAACTGAGGGAATAATTACAATGGCTCCTGCTTGTTTAGTAGTGCTGTTGGCGGTTGTTACTGTTTTACTATGGAGAAAACATGCAAAGAAGAGGTATGACAGCCCGATATCCGCGGACGGTAGCTTCCCCGGCCTACGGGGTTACTGAAGATTTTATACGAATTTATAAGAATAGGGCCGATATGCTTGTGATTCTCTTAACTTTAGGCCACTGTTTCCCGGGATTCTCTTCGTTTTTCGGCATTTTGAATAACGATAGACTGGGTTTTTAATTGTTGTAAAAACTTTTTTAAGGAATTTGCTTTTCTTGAAAGAGAAAATTAGCTATCTTAGCTAGAAAGACCAATCTTGAGCAAGTATGAGGAGAAGACAAAATGCAAAACATATCCAATCATCTTACGAAAAACTTAGCTGGTGTTTTCATTGAGTAGAGCTAGAGGTATAATTACGTCCTAGTTTGTTTTATACATGGATATAGTTTTTCAACTTTGTCATTTATGTTATTTCTATCGCTCGATCAAGAAAACATCAAGGCCTCTGGCTGAGATTACCCTGTAATGACCTCACTTACGGTTAATAAGTAGTATGTATTAATACTACGCGCGGTTACTAAACAGTTTGATATTTTTGCCCGGCGTTTTCTTGCAGAGTTCGCATGTTAGAATCTCGCGAGCCTCATCTGAGACGAAACAGAGGCTTGGTGAATGGAGAGAAGGGTTTCTACAAAGGTTTGTGTTACTCGTAAGACTCGTAAGTTTATCGATAATTTCATGAAAAGTATAAACTCTTAACTCTATTTTTTTCCTTTTTCTCCCAAGGAAAAATCAAACAACACAAGATGATATCACCTATAATGATCGACAATCAAATTGTAAGTAGTTTTCTGTTGTAGCCCCTTTGGGGGAGGGGAGGGGAAGGTGAGTGAGAAAACGATAATTCAGGGGTATGGATTTAATTATATATCTGTGCTGACCAGTACCGTGACGTCCGTACGCATTGATACCATTGAAGCGGACGAGGTGATGGTTGAAATAGAGCTAGAAATTTCTCCGGAAGAGTTCGAAGCGAGACGTGAGCAGTTTGAGGAGGAGCTTTCAAGATACTTAGGTGCTGATGTTAGTATAGCAGATTACACGGTCCTTGGGGAGGCAGAAGCGCGGAGGAGGAAGAGGGAGACTAAAAAACGGTAAGAAAGGTAACTAATGGAGAGGAGAAGTGTGACGTCACGTTACCATGGTAGCACTATTTCTGGATGACAACAAAACCAACGACGACGGCGACGGCAAGGAGAGCGGCAAAATAATGTGTTTATAACTGACAATAACGTTGCACGTGCATCACGCTATTTTGTACATTTCTTTGGCGTCGCACTATGGCATGAAACTTCCTAATTTCACGAGCCCGCTTTATGGAGCAGGAGAACACAACAAAAAAATTGTCGACTTCTTTTTCTAAACTTAGAGAACGATAGATACGGTCCCGAGGAAAATTTTCGCAAGATTTGCCAAGTTGAATGAAATTGAATGAGATCGGTGAAGTTTGAAATAGTGCGAATAGACTTTTACCAAGGAGCCTAAAAGTGTTACCTCCTTTAATTAGTTAACATTCTTTCATGCAGACATAAACCAATCAGAAGTCGAGGACAGTTTCCAGCTGGCTTCTGATTGGACAAAATCTGCACGAAAGAATGTGAATAAATTAAAAGCGGTCACACTTTTGGGCTCCTTGCTGTAAGTGACTTTTTCGGTTTGCTGTCTTCCAAAAATTTCGCTACCATGGCAATGTGACGTAAAGTCTTCTCCTCTCTATTAATAGGAAATTACGTTTGAATTTTTTTGTCACTCTATCAACGGTAAGAAAACAGAGGCCCAGTGGATTGCTGAACCCTCTTGTTCTTGTCAACCAACATGACCGCTGTAACATTTTCTGCAAAATCAGCCATAGTAATCCAAGACAGTCGTGGAACCGTGGATTCCAGATTCCTTTTTCCAGTCGGTGGAACTTGGATCCCGGATTCCAATTGTTAGCGGGATTCCGGACTCCTAGTGCTGAGTTCCAGATTCCAATGCCCGGATTCTGGATTCCACGCGAAAAAAAGTTCTCGGATTTTGAAATTTGGAATTACTCTCCATAGGTTGGTGGAATTACTTAGAAGGTATCATTAGAGTATTATTTTTCTCTCAGGTTTAATAGTATTTGTTTGGTGATTGAATCAAATTATTTTATAGGACAAACAACCGACTTACTCGCTAATGATAATTATATTCTTTTCAGCATTGTGGTCACCATTTACGCGGTTAAGAATCCATCTGGTAACAACACAGATTTAAACGAAAAGTTGTCTCGAGCAAAAGAGTATCTGACAAAAGATGAGATTTTAGACGCTCTCTTAGACGATGACGGAAATCTTAGTCCGAACTTGACAAATAACAAAGAGTTGGAGGTAGGATGTAATGCTTAGCGCGGGTTTTGTTTACGCGTAAAATCAAAAGCGCGGTCAACGCAGAATGATCAACTGAAGATCGAAGCCAATACATGTCATGTGCGTCAAGCCCGAGGAAACTGGTGAAAACATGTCACGAGTAGTTTTATTTTCATTCCGAATGGCTACCACTCATTTCGGTTAGAAACAAACTAGGCTTTTGTACATTATGCTTTTGTTTTCCCACTAAAATACCACACTGTAAATGCTCCATGCAGCACATACAACAACAACGTATAGAGGTTATAATGTTTTTATTGAGTTAATGTTTTAGGTGACATTTGAGTTTTGTTTTGATTTACGAGATTTCGTGTTTAATTTCTCTTTTTTCTATTTTCATTTTTTCTCAAAAAAAATAATTTTGTGAAAAAAAATCCACTAAATTACTCCGAATAACGCTTGATGAGTTTTTGCCTCACTGAAATTCTCGAAAAATTGCGAGCATAATGTACAAAAGCCTAACTCAAAAACTTTTCGTATAGGGTGTTTTCACTCACCTGGTCAGCAGCTATGGGCATGTATATTATTGGAACAAAAGAAAGTCTTTTCTTTTTTTTTTTACATAAAAAGCTCAACTCCTGCAGGATTGGCTCGGGACACCAAGATAGCGAATATATAGTCATGTAAAAAATGGTCTATAACCAAATGGCTTTTCACGTTGTTTTATTGTTGTTGTTGTTTCAGGTATTTAATATTCGCTCAGCCAAGCCAGCGGTGCCTGAGATTCCCACCTCCCCCCCACCCACTCCATTTTACAAGACAACTGAGGGAATAATTACAATGGCTCCTGCTTGTTTAGTAGTGCTGTTGGCGGTTGTTACTGTTTTACTATGGAGAAAACATGCAAAGAAGAGGTATGACAGCCCGATATCCGCGGACGGTAGCTTCCCCGGCCTACGGGGTTACTGAAGATTTTATACGAATTTATAAGAATAGGGCCGATATGCTTGTGATTCTCTTAACTTTAGGCCACTGTTTCCCGGGATTCTCTTCGTTTTTCGGCATTTTGAATAACGATAGACTGGGTTTTTAATTGTTGTAAAAACTTTTTTAAGGAATTTGCTTTTCTTGAAAGAGAAAATTAGCTATCTTAGCTAGAAAGACCAATCTTGAGCAAGTATGAGGAGAAGACAAAATGCAAAACATATCCAATCATCTTACGAAAAACTTAGCTGGTGTTTTCATTGAGTAGAGCTAGAGGTATAATTACGTCCTAGTTTGTTTTATACATGGATATAGTTTTTCAACTTTGTCATTTATGTTATTTCTATCGCTCGATCAAGAAAACATCAAGGCCTCTGGCTGAGATTACCCTGTAATGACCTCACTTACGGTTAATAAGTAGTATGTATTAATACTACGCGCGGTTACTAAACAGTTTGATATTTTTGCCCGGCGTTTTCTTGCAGAGTTCGCATGTTAGAATCTCGCGAGCCTCATCTGAGACGAAACAGAGGCTTGGTGAATGGAGAGAAGGGTTTCTACAAAGGTTTGTGTTACTCGTAAGACTCGTAAGTTTATCGATAATTTCATGAAAAGTATAAACTCTTAACTCTATTTTTTTCCTTTTTCTCCCAAGGAAAAATCAAACAACACAAGATGATATCACCTATAATGATCGACAATCAAATTGTAAGTAGTTTTCTGTTGTAGCCCCTTTGGGGGAGGGGAGGGGAAGGTGAGTGAGAAAACGATAATTCAGGGGTATGGATTTAATTATATATCTGGACATGCCG